GCTCCCCATCCCCCGGCGTAGCGGCGGTGGCGGGACCTGGCTCGGCTTCTCCCCGTGATGTCCCCCGGGCAGCAGGGAAAGGCGACTCACTCGAGGTCCGGGGGAAAGGCCTAGTGTCTCCAGCGGTGCGCCCGCGCCCCTCCAGCGATGATGGCAGAGGAGCAGCAAGCGGAGCCGCCGCCGCCGCTGCCCGGCCCCGGGGGGGCACTGCCAACCCTGGTGCCCGGGCTGCAGGGGGCAGAGGCCAGCGCCCTGCAACACAAAATCAAGAACTCCATCTGGTAAGAGCAGCCTCCATCGCCGGCCGCGGGCCCCGAACCCTGCCTGCCTCCTGCCTGCGCCGCATGTGCCTGTCCACAGCCTGCTGCCTGTTTACTTCGTGCTGTTTGGGGTTTGGGGGGGGAGGAGGGCGGTATGATTTCATGTGCACGCCTGGCACCGCTGGGCCACAATCCGTGTGCAAGCGGCTCGTGGAGCTGCAGAAAAACAAGTGGTTGAAAAATCTATGGGGATCCCGAGTACTCGGTGCATTTCAAAGGAAGAACATGGGGCAATAAGTTGCATGATGGTGCGTGTGTGCGTGTGTGTGTATGTGTGTGTGTGTGCGTGCGTGCGTGTGTGTCGGGGTGGGGGATGGGGAATGGAAAATGTGTTTACTTGGCTTTGCAGGCAGGCAGACACACACACACCCTGCACCACCGCGCACACGACCCCGCCAGCCCTGTTGTGAATCGAGACCAAGCAGCCCATCATACATAACCATATTTAATATGCAATGCAAAACCTGCTCGGCTCTGAGAGCAGTTACCTTCCCTAGATTGATTTTATTGTTTTGGGTTTTTTTGCAGTGTTTATTCAGGATGAGAAATCATCCTTGAAAGGTTTTTCTGCATTTCCTGTGCAGAATATTCTTGTTAGAAATGCAGTGCCATATACGTGTGTGTGTAAATGTGCATGTGTGTTTATCCACACATGCACAGGTGTGTGTGTCTTCCCCCTCCCCCCCCACCTTATTCAGAGGGTAGCAGCATTTTTTTCCCCCCAGGAAGAATATACAGTGGGATGTGTTCGAGGGTTTGGCCATGTTATGTGTTGTATATTAATTTGTATCCCAAGATAATAATAATTGTGGCGCATCTGTGTTTAAAATGATATCATCTTGCTTGCTTAAGCTATTTTTAATAATTGAATGTATTGTATAGTTTTATGCTTATTAAGCCCAGTTTTGCTATCTGTATTAGGCCTATGCCCACTAATACAAAGTAATAATGCAACAAGGAAAATATATAGTATGTGTGTATATATAGTAAATGTTACATTTATAATGATTCTGTTATGTACCTCTATTTCCACGGATTTGCAGTCTAGCAATTGACATGTGATTGGGCTGTTACTTGGTATGGTGATATGCAAGTTTCTTTGTAACAATCTAGTTTCATTGCAGATTTTTAAAGAAAACAATCCCATAATAAATCTACATTCGTCTGAACTTGTATGCTTGTTTTAAGGTGGTGGGCATGAGGGGTAGGTTAGTTGAGTTTAGTTTGTCCTGCAAATGAAAAATTACTTTATTCTTGAAAAAGAAACACTGTGAAGGCCTGGCACCTGCAATAAATATGTGGCTTTTGGTGAATGTAAAAGCATTGTTTAGATCTAATTTAATGCTTTGAATATTGGGAATTATGTATGTACAGTAATCCTTTCCTCCCACATTACCCATATTATGGATATCTAATAAACAATGGATTGACCTGGTGTTTATACTGCTTTGTACTATGATGGTTAGTGTTTATGGTATGCAGAGTTAATGTGGAATTAAAAAGAAAACCAAAATACATTACACACACTGTTGAGGGAGAGGAGTATTATGAAGTGCAACTTTTAATTTCCTAGCTTTTTCATTTTTAAAAAACAGTAAGCAGTAAATCACAATTCTCTGTCCTTAATCCACAAACAGTGGCTTTTGTTTAGTGTTTTTGTGTGCAATGAGGTGATTTAGGGAGGGAATATTAGCTATTGAATTTCCTGGCTGTGTAGTTTATCTTCAGGTTGTTTTGATTTATAATAGGTTAGGTGGTACACATTTTTACATTTTCTTCCTTTCCCAGCAACATGATATTTGGAAACCAGCTTCTCAGACAGCATGTTTATATTGCATTCAGATTGGGTATCATGTCCAAGTTGAAGACAAAATGGCTACTAAGTAAAAATCTCTCCTTTAATAAGAACATGCCTTAAAAAAAAAGACACTTGGGGATTACATGATTATATTCAAAGATACTTTGGTTCAGCTAGTGAGAGGATTTTGAATAAATAACCTTCCTTCCTATTCAATACAAAATAACTTCTAATAGTTTTACCAAAAATTAATTTCTAGACAAGTGCAAAGTATGTGAAATAGTACTGCTGAAACCTCTGACAGTATAGTTGTCTCATCTTCCAATGTAACAGGTAGAATTTGTAGATAGTTGATTAGCCATCCTTCATAGCTACATGACCTTTACTAGTTGGCTATCCTGGACAGGTCTGAAACGGCTTTCTGGACAGGTCTGAAACTTGTGTTGCACTTCCAGATAGTATCAGTTCCTTGCACATTATAGTATAGATAATAGTAAAACAACTTATTTTACAGTGCAATTGTATTTCAGTATTTTAAAATTTTTAAAGGTTTTTACTGTTTGTTTACCTACCTTTTAGAAAGTCCATGTGTTTCTGTATTGCTGTATTGTTGGTAAACAGTATTCATATGAATGTCTAATTCCATAATATTGGCTGGTGTCTTAGTGCAAATATAATTACTCTCATTAACCAGAAAGGGTAAGAAAGCTGTCCAAGAGAAATCATACATGCTGTACTTGCAGGGAACACTGGAAAATGTATTCAGTCCCTGCTTCCAACTCAAGACTTAGTAGTATGTATGGAAGGTGCAGTGTATTGGCCATAAATATACTATAAGCGATTCTTGAGAAAATGCCAAATTGACAATATTCTGTGTTTATACATAACTGACTTAGAAGTTGTTGAGATTGTTTTCTCCTAAATATGTTTTGGAGGTTTGGTGTATGTTAATTCCTGACTTCCCTCTCAAAATACGTACATTTTTAGATTAGTATTTATCAGTATTTTCTTAACTGATATTTTTCCCCCTTCCCACACATGGTTTTGAGGATATTGTAGATGGACATTTTTAGTTTATAAAGTGTTTTTAGTCTGCAAAATGTATTGTCAGTGAAAATAGTGTAGCAATATATAGCAGCTACTGAAATACTGGACTTGTGGATCACAAACAAGTCTGTGCTTGTCCTTCTCCTGTACAGATGAATATAAATATAGTATGTGATGTAGGCCTCTAGCAGGACAATGAGTTATTCATAATCTCAGCTCATAGTTAATTTATTCTGTTTATTAAATTTAAAATGCAGACTGACAAAAGAAATAGCTCTACTGTAGTTTCAAGCATGTAGTGTCTCTTTAAAATCATGCAGTGTTTTCATAATTTAAGTTGAGGGCATGGTCAGTGTGCATACTGAAGACTTTCAAATGTATTTAACAGGATGCAAGTTAAAAATTTTAATTACATTTTAAAAGTCTATTGGTGGAAATGGAGAATTTCTCTAGTATGTTTACAATGATCTTGAAGCATTGTCCATATACAGATGTGTTGGATAGACAGAGCTATTTAACTTGTGTCTGATTAAAAAAAGATTAAGGGTTCAGTGTTGTCTGCTACAGATTTTTTTTCCCTCAAATGACCCCCTTGAACAAGCCCACTGAAGTGTTCTTTGTTTTTATTTTGTGTTACATGTATAACGTACTCTGACAGTTGGATATATTCTTACAGTGCTGATGAAAAGGACAAAAATAATATTAGACTTTTTCCCATTGATGGATTAGAAGTCTAGACTAGAAAGAACATGTCTTTGCAGATCCTAAACTGTCTGATTAAATGTCAGTTTGGGCAGGTTTGTAAATTGTCTTACTCTTCACTGGACATTGGGCCTTAATCTGCCTGCTTTTATTTCTCTTTAGAGTCATTAACACTTTAATATTTTTTTGTGTCCAGTCACAAAAGCCAAAGGCAAGAAAACCTTACCAGTCAGCCATCTGTGTGTATAAACTAATTTCTGAGCACCTGCTAAAAGTTTGAAAATGCTGTATTTTTTAAACCAGCACGGCAGCCGGTCATGGAGCAGGGCAGGGGGCGAATAGCGGCTGCTGGTCCTGGAGCAGCAGCTGAATGCAGAGCAGCAGAGTGGGGTGGTGAATGATGGTGGCAGCCACCGCATGCAAGCTTCCCCCTCTGCTTCCAGGAGGGCGGAGGGGAATGGCGGCCAGTCCTGGAGTGGTAGGGGGTGGATTTTTGATAATTCCAGATTTATGAAGTTATACTGTATTACCAAATGTGTTTTAGTTCTAAACAAAGTTTGTGTACACAGCCACTGCCAAAGATGGAGTCCACTCATAGTTCCATTAGATTGCAAAAGAGTATCCCTTTAGTAGAGACATCTAGAATGGTTCATACATAAAAAAATATTGAGTAGATATTAAGAAATGAATTTCTGCAGCATGAACAGAAGAGACCAATATTTTTTTTTTAGATAATTTCATCCTTATTTACTATCCTGTTATTGAAGTGTATATCACATAATTTATTAATGTTAAACTTCAATGGAAATATTCATGTTTATTATTTTGCATACATAGTGATGATTATTATATGAACTACAGGCATACCTCGTTTTATTGCGCTTCATTTTATTGCGCTTTGCAGATATTGCGTTTTTTACAAATTGAAGGCTTGTGGCAACCTTCATTGTTGTCTTATTTTAAGAAATTGCCACAGCCACCCCAACCTTCAGCAACCACCACCCTGATCAGTCAGCAGCCATCAACATCGAGGCAAGACCCTCCACCAGCAAAAAGATTACGACTCGCTGAAGGCTCAGATGATGGTTG